GGTCCCGCTGGAGATCTTTTCTGCGCCACTGCCTTTTGCATGTATAAAAGGAAAGGGGGGGGGGGGAGAGAAAAAACTGAGAGCGGAAAATGAGTGTGTGCGCGCGTGTGTGTGCGTGTGTAAGGGCGAGGACACGCCCCCTTGGTGCACCGCCCTTCTTTTCCCCCTAAATGCCTCCAAGATGGTTTGTCTCACGTGTTGCAGGCCGTAAAAAGAAGAAAAAACCCAACAACAACAACAACCATCCACAACCACAAAACCCCAGCAGCAGCAGCCCGGCAGCAGCGCCGGCGGGCCGGGCGCGTGGGGTGAGCGTGGATCCGTGTGCGCGCGCGCGCGTGCGAGATCGAGACCCGCGCGAGTGTCAGGGCGAAGGTGTGAGGGGGACCGTGCGGGGGCCGGGTAGCGAGAAGGGGGGAACCCCCCACGGCGCCCCGATCCCGGCCCCGCAGGGGGGGGATGGCGCGGAGAGTGCGTCTCGGTGCCAGTGGGGATGGGGACAGGTCTGCGATGGCGTTGTGAGGAGGTGGGGGGGTGGAGGTGGGCAGGGGCGCTCCCCCCCACCCCGGGGGAGGGGAGGATCGCTGAGGCTTTCCACAAATGCGGAAGCCGCAGGAGGGTGGGAGAGGCTGCGCGCGCTCCCGCGGCGCCCGGGCGCACGCACGCGCGGGGTCTCTCCGTCCTCGCCCGCCCGCCCGCGAGGACTAGGCGGGAGGGGGGGGCACCGATCTGAAAGGAGGAGAAGTGGAGTAAGACTTGGGGTGGGTGGGGAACCTCAAACTTAGCCCGTGTCCCCTCTCCCGCTTCCCATCGCAGCCTCGACAACCCATGCGGGCGCGGCTCTCTCGGACCCGACATTGGCGACACAACTCCGGGACGCGGAAAGGGGTGCGCCCCACAGGCTGCGCGTCCTGAGAGCCGGCGAGCCGCAGGTAAGCTATGGGGGAGACGGCGCCCCCCAACCTCAGCCCAGGCAGGGTAGGTCTGGCCTGGCACATCGACACCCCTCAGCCCCCTCTACACCCACACACTAAGAAAAACTGGGAGCCTAGGAAGGGTGGGGTCCCCAGGACCAAGGCGGAAGAGGGGACTCGAGATCTCAAAGATGGGGTTTGACAGGGGCGCTGCCAAACCTGACCGGGCACTCCAATTGGGGGCGGGGAGTCTCTAAATGTTTGTGGGGCTAGGGGTGAAGTTTTATGGGGCGTGTATGGGGGGGTGCTGCTCCAGGCATTATGGAGCCATGGAGAGCGCTTGGATTTCACTAGTGGCCCCCAAACCTGTTGGCCAGGGACCCCTCCCTTCCCAGGAGCGGTTTGAGATTTGTGCAGATCCAGCTTTGTAGTCGCATCCCCGGTCCAGGCATGGGGGGGGGAGGGGAGACGCTTTTTCCACGAGGTCACCCTGGAGCTGTCCTGCCTGGGGTTGGGGGTGAGGGGCTGCAGGCTGGGGACCCACAACTTCACAGTCTGCAGAATGCTATGCTGGAGGAAGGAGGGCTCCCCTAGACCCCATGTCCCTAGCTCCCAGTTCTCCAGGATCGCCCCGCTGCTCAAGGTGGTTGTGTGCGCCTGTGTCCGAATGTGGGTGTGAGTTCGTGTGAGGACGTGTGTCCTTGTGTCTGTCTGGCGAGTCGCACAAATGAGGCAGAACGCACTTGCGCGTGGTGGTGGAGAACGCTAGGCGAAGGCTGGGTGTCACGGAGAGAACAATGAAGTCTCTGGGGTGGTGGCGTGGGTGTCTGGGCGCTTACGTGTTGTGTCTAGCCAGTGCCTTACGAACCTCCGGATAATACAGAGACCGCCAGCTGCATGGCCACGTTCGCTTCTGTTTGTATCTTTGTGTGTCTGTGCGGGGCGTGTGTGTGCCAGCAATGCACGTGGCACAAAAGCATCCCCGACAGGGCGGCAGGGACCAGGGGATCCCTTCTGGGCCACCCCTTCATCCCACCTGGGCCAAGGAAAACTGAGGGACAGAGTCTGGGAAGTAAGGTGCCTGTGGCTCATGCCTGTCATCTAAACTTAGTCAGGAGGCTGAGATCTGAGGACCACAGTTCAAAGCCAGCCGGGGTGGGGGGGGGAGTCCGTGAGACTCTTCTCTCCAACGACCTGGCAAAAAGCTGGAAGTGCCGCGGTGGCTGAAGTGGTAGAGCGCTAGCCTTGAGCACAAAAGCTCAGGGACAGCGCCCAGGCCTTGAGTTCAAGCCCTAGGACCAGCAGGAGAAAGAAAGAAAAGAAAGAGAGGGAGAGAGGGAGGGAGGGCAGGAAGGAGGGAGGGAGGGAGGAGAAAAAAGAAAGGAGAAAGAGTGGGGGAGGGAGGGAACCTGGGGGTGGGGCAAGGCTATGGTGAAGGGGTTGAGGGGGGAGTATGGTTCATACATTCTGGAAAAGGAATTCAGGACACCTCCCCAAAAAAAGCCCATTGCATTTCTTTCCTCCCTCTTTCTTTTCTTCTTTCTTTTGCGGGTCCTGGAGCTTGAACCCCGGGGGCCTGGGCACTGTCCCTGAGCCTCTTTGTGCTCAGGGCTAGTCCTCTACCACTTTAGCCACAGCGCCACTTCCAGCTTTTTCTGTGATTAATTGGAGATGAGTATCTCATGGACTTTTCCTGCCCAGGCTGGCTTTGAACGGTGATCCTCAGATCTCAGCCTCCAGAGTAGCTAGGATGGCAGGGATGAGCCTGGCTGTCCCGTTGCATTTCTACGACCTTTATTAAGCCCCGCTGATGATCGGAAGAGGTCCCTGGGCACAGAGGGTATTGCAGGCACCCAAGGTGTGTGTGTGGAGGGGGGGGGGAGCGCAAAGCTCTATAGAAGGGGCCCTCGGTCACCTCCCCCCACCCCCGCCCCTTCTCTCGGCTTCCATTTGCAGGAGCTGCGATGGCGCCCGTGCGCGGCCTGTGGCTGGCGTGGGCACTGTTAGGAGTGGCCGGCGCGTGCCCGGAGCCGTGCGCCTGCGTGGACAAGTACGCCCATCAGTTCGTGGACTGCGCGTACAAGGATCTGCGCGAGGTGCCCGAAGGTTTGCCAGCCAACGTGACCACGCTCAGCCTGTCGGCCAACAAGATCGCGGTGCTGCGGCGAGGGGCCTTTGCCAACGTCACCCAGGTCACGTCGCTGTGGCTGGCGCACAGCGAGGTGCGCACGGTGGAATCGGGGGCTCTGGCCGTGTTGAGTCAGCTCAAGAATCTCGACCTGAGCCACAACCTCATCTCTAATTTCCCTTGGAGCGATCTGCGCAATCTGAGCGCGCTGCAGCTGCTCAAAATGAACCACAACCGGCTGGGCTCGCTGCCCCGGGACGCGCTCGGGACGCTGCCGGACCTGCGCTCCCTGCGCATCAACAACAACCAGCTGCGCACGCTGGAGCCCGGCACCTTCGACGCCCTGAGCGCCCTGTCGCACCTGCAGCTTTACCACAACCCCTTCCACTGCGGCTGCGGCCTCGTGTGGCTGCAGGCCTGGGCCGCCAGCACGCGCGTCTCGCTGCCCGAGCTGGATTCCATCGCGTGCGCCTCGCCCCCGGAATTGCACGGAGTGCCCGTGCACCGCCTGCCG